AGCTCCCTGCTTGTGGCCTGGGAAAGCAGTCGAGGACGGCCCAAAGCTTTGGGACCCTGCACCCACAAGGGAGACCTGGAAGAGACTCTGGGCTCCTGGTTTTGGATCGGCTCAGCTCTGGCCGTTGCACTCACTTGGGGAGTAAATCATCAGACAGAAGATCTTCCTCTCTTTCTCTCCTCCTCTCTGTATATTTGACTTTCCAATAGAAGTAAATAAATCTTTAAAAAAAGAGGGAGAGAAAGAAAGAAATAGCTATCAAAACATCATGTTGCGGGACAGATGCTATGGCACAGCCAAAACCTCCTTGGGACACCTGCTTCCCGTAGCTGAGTTCCTGAGATCGAGTCCCACCTGCTTCCAATTCAGCTTCCTGCTGATCCAACCCTTGGAGGCAGAAGATGATGGCTGTAACATCCAAAGACCTGGGTGGAGTTCCTGGTTTCTGACTTTGATCTGGTCCAGCACCACCTGCTACAGGAATTTGGGGAGGCAACACATGGCAGAGCACGCTCTCTCTCTCTGGTTTAGTTTTTAAAATAATTACATTTGAACAAAATAATGTTGTTAAAATTGCTTAAAGATGTATTTATTCATTTGTGAAGCAGAGTTACAGACAAAAAAGGGGAGACAAAAAACGTTGTACCCTACAGCACATTGCCATGTGCACTAGCCTCATTGCGAACATCCAAAAGCCAGGTGTGTCTGATAACGTCAGACTGTGCATGCGGCTCCATCCCACCCGGTTGGTTCTTATGGGCTGCGTGTTTGCAACCTGACCTCTTCAATTCACAGTTCGCATGTCCTAGATATGGACATGGGATTTGGGGCGGGTAATTGAGTTCAGATAAGGTCTGGACAGGGAGGCCATGAAGTTGGACTCAGTGCCCTCACGACAAAGATCAAGACTGGTCCAGCGGCTCAACAAGTTAAGCTGCCACCTGTGATTCTGGCATCCCATATGGGAGTGCCAGTTCCAGTCCTTGCTACTCTACTTCACAATCCAGCTTCCTGTTAATGTACCTAAGATAATAGCAGAAGATGGCCCAAGTCCATGAGTCCAAATAGTGAACTCTCTACCACATGAGGACACAGCAAGAAGACAGCAACCTGCAAGTCATTCACCAGGGCCTGACCAGGCCAACATCATCATCTTGAACTTCCATCTTGCAGAACTCTTAAAAAGCAGATTTGTGTACCACTTCCTCTACAATGCTTGTTTGTGGTAGCCTGAGCTAACACCGGAGCTCTACCTGGTAAAATCTGCAAGTGATCAGACAAAACCAAACTCCCCAGAAGGTTTATGGCCCAAAGCAGCAAATTCCAAGCACAGAGGCAGAGTCTGGAACACCTGAGCTAACCACACACCTGTGCTTCACCCTGTTCCTTGGGAAGATGCAGCACTTTGTGGTGTCATGGGCAAACGACTGAATGCCCGTGCTTTCTAAGTTCCAAACACTTACATTGTCACGGGGAGTGAGGACAACACCTCCCGTGTGTGTCTTGTCCTGCTATTGAACCTATCACCTGCTTTAGCTGGAGAATGACAAACGATCCATGAGAGCACACGTGAGTAGCCAGAAGTGGACAGAAGTACTGAGCACCGCAGACAGCAAACGGGAACACCTTGAGAGGACAAGGCAGAGAGAACCCACTGCTGGGGCTTCGTACTATTGGCCAAAAAGATGAAAGCTTTTTAAATGGCCTCTGCCAATGCAAACAAGAATAGTGTCACGGGCCCGGGTCTCCCATTACATTGACTGTTTTCATTTTTCTGTATTGTTTCAAATTGTCCCTAAGCCACATCTGATTATTTCTGTGTAGCTGTGGATGCTACCTTCTGCTGCTGGCATGCATTAAAGAGTCAAAGAGAAAAAAAACAAAGACACATAGGCCTGGGACCTTTGGAAAATTAATTGCTCAGTCTTGACCTAAGTAGCGCAGAAATCCTCAACTTCCTTAAGATCAGGATTTTATACTGGAAAGGAGAATTTAGACAACACTTGCCTCAAATTACCATCATTAGGCAGGTGCACTGGTGACTTTTACAGACCAGGTCAAGCCACATCGAAGGATCCCCCACGCATCTCAGCTCAAGAAAAAACGCCTGACAATGATCAGTCAAAACCGTTGGAAATGTCTGGCGAGGTCACAGCATCAGGAAATGTCCTTGAGTGAAAACATAGGGTCCGGTGGGTAATAGAAGCACACTCTAAAATAGCTAATGCAGAGTAGCCACGTTTTCTTTGGCAGAAGAGTTGGAGAACTTAATCCTGCACCCTTGGCAATGATGGCACAAAGTAAACTCTGGTACGTTCTGGCTTACCCTTAATGCCCTTGGAAGACTTAAAGGTTTCCTGTAACACTGGAGGAGGCTGGCACACTCTGATTAAAGGAAAGCAGGCAAGAGTAAGTCTAGAACGGGAACAATATCATAAATCATGTAAGAGGTCTCCCAGGAACTTAACTTCCTGTGAAACAAAGAAAAACACCACGGGTTTGAACACAATCCAAGAGCAGCTGCCAAGAATCTGAACCACAAAAAATAATCTGGCCACAGGCTGGGGTGAGGTTGCAAGCTGAGCGGAGGAGCTGTTGCGGGGTGGGAGAACCATCTAGCCAGGAAGTTTTCTCCACCCTTCCCCAGGAGGTGTCCAGCTGCGGTTGGCCTACATGGTGTAGCCACCACTTAGTGAGGTCCCGGCTGGGCTGATGCGCCCCAGCTGGCAGCTGTGGGAGTCACATCGACACACACAAACCACTAGACCTGTCCCCACGTGGTCCTCATCACCTCTGCCCTGATCCTCACGCCATCCAGTGCTCACGGCTCTCACGTCACTCATCTGGCTGTACCTGTGTTGTAGCCACACTCACCACCTCCTTTCAGCCAGCCACCCTGGGCCACCCCGCTCTGTCTTGATCCCGAAGTCCTCCCCACAGTGACTTTCTCTGGGTCTCAGTGTCGCCAAAGGCACGGTAACGGAGGTGTGCATGAATTCATCTTTCCTTAGGGGCTCTGTAGATATCATGCCTTCATCCTGGGCACATCTGCCGCCAGCGTGAACACCTTTAGCAAGCCTCATGGTGGCAGCTGCCTTGCAAGCAGCTACGTTTAGGTTTCTTCTGATTGATATGTCTGAATAAAGCCAGCCCCTCCTGAGGGTGTGGCTCCAACCGAGTGAAAAAATGTGGATAATTCAAGCAGAAAAAACATTCGCCTCAATTACATGACAATTTCAGCTTAAACTCTGACTTACACTATAAATAACTTTCTCGATTAAAAAAGTAATGCAGTAACATTGCAAGTAGTTAAGACATTTATTAAAAATACAATTTTCTGTGTGAAAGTATTCTCACTAGACCTTTAAGACATACATCCTAACTTCACGTAAATCTTCAAGATTTGTGCACGTGTACCCACACATATACACTGTATGTATTGCATAAGCACATAAACTTTGTATGAGTTTACTTCCAAAAATTGGGGGTGGAGCAGTGGTGTGGCAAGCTAATCCTCTGCCTATGGTGCCAGCATCCCTTATGGGCAGGGGATCATGTTCTGGCTACTCCACTTCTGATCAGCTCCCTGCTTCTGACCTGGGGAAGCAGGGAGGATAGCTCAAGTCCTTGGGCTCCTATAGCAATGTGGGAGACCCAGAAGAAGCTCCTGCCTCCTTGGCTCAGCTCCAGCTGGTGCAGCCACTTGGGGAATGATTCAGAGGATGGAAGATCTTTCTCTCTGCGTTTCTCCTTCTCTCTGTAAATCTGTCTTTCCAACAAAAATAAATAAATCTTTTTAACATTCATATTAAAAGATAGGCTTATTTGGGTGTAAAAAATTCAGACATTCATGCAGTTTTTTCATAATATCCATTTTCTAAAACTTTTCCAACACACCTTTCATGAATTTGAAAGGTTTTTGTAGCGAAATAAATACTTTTAGCTCCATTTCCATGAACTTTTTGAAATACCCTCACTTATGCATAATTACTGCAAGCAAAATACCCGCGAAGGCCAGTTCCCCAAGTTTATTTACCTTTGTTTCCGTTCATGTAAGCCCGGAGTATCACAAGCAGAGGGACAAGTGGGGACAGGTGACATGCCAGCAGGCTCTTTCTTGATGACATCTATGAACCTGGGCTCTCATGAGGGCAGCAGTAATCTTTGTGAAGCGAGGCAATGACATATATTCCCATGCCATCCATCTGAATACACAGTGAAGAGCCAAGAGCTTTTCTAAACCATCAGGCCAGGGCAATGAGACCTGCAGTGTCCCCATGGGCCCCTAATTAGATTCATTGCACCAAGATCAGATCACATCCAGATTGTAATATAAGACTCAATGCCATGGGAGATTCTCCTAGATGCTCCTTGGTTTAGGGACCCTTCTTTCTCTGATCTAAAGGGAGTGTCCCTGGAGTATGCATCAGGTGAAAACAATCACCAGTTTCCCAAGTCCCCAGGCTCTTTCTAGTTCCCCTTATGGGGACCCCTCCCTGTCCTTTAGATGTGTAATGGAGCTAGCCAGAGTGGTAAGGGACTGGCCTGCTGATTGCAGCTCCACAGAGAACATGTGACGGAGCCCCCAGAGTCCTCACGCGGCGTGTCCTCCTGGAGGAGGATGCCCGTTTCGTAACCTTAAGGGCTGGCATCTGCTTTGCTTTGATGTAGAAATAGCCGAGTGTTTATCAGGTACCTGGTAAACAACCAGAACTAAGCAGGCGGGTCCCCATGTGTGAGCAAAGTAGGGAGCCACCTGCCCACACCTCCTCCTCCCTCTCATGGGAGCGGAGGAGGGCCCAGCACCTTCCTAAGCCACCTGGACAGTTGGTGTCCCACCCCCCCTTGCCCATCCTGTTGACCCATCGGAGCCACAGTGGGGCAGAGACCCAACTTTGCACTTGAAGCTGGCTCTACACTAGATGTGGAAACCACACCCTAGAGGGCCAACACCCCTGGCCTGGGAGCTATGACGTCTGAGACCAATGCTCCACACTTGGGACAGAAGTCAGCTGTCCTTCTCTCCCACGTGCCACTCTGCCTAAATCTCAAAGGGAATAGGTCCTTGTAAATAAACCGTGAACAATGGGATCTGCTCTACCTGAACTGTCATCGCCTTTCTCAGGCCTCAGCCTTCAAGGTCTTTATTGAAAGGAGTCAGGAGTCTGCATAGTGAACCTGCTTTGGTGATAGTAACCAGAGTTAACCCCTGCCTCCCCTTTCTGATGAGGAGCCTGTGCCCTTCAATCATCAGGACTAGGAGTTCATGTCCCTGCAGACAACTTTGTGAATCGTTTGGGCTGAGCCCTGGCACACATCTCTACAGTAAAGGGTGAATGCCAGGTCACAGGAAATTCCAGATTTCCATGGAACTCACAAGCAACATATCCAATTCACCACCCACTTGGTTTTGTACCTCTAGGAGCAGACACTGAGCCCAGGACAGGAGAGAACAGGAAGGGTAGGACAGAGGCTTGCCTGTCAAGGTCTTAGGCACCGGCTCAAATGCAATCAAAATCAAGACAAATCCCGCTGTTTGGGATTCAATTGGAGGACCTCACACGTGAAGCAGCCGGCGCTTGGGGGGAGCACTGGTACCTGATGGCCTGTCTGCTGACCAGCGATGTAGAAAGGCCCTGATGTGAACTCCAGCGACCCAGCACATTCCAGGTGGGGTGAGTGTGTCATACTGATGCCTGTGTGATGTGTGCTGATGTCTGGGGATATCATGTGACTTCATCTTGTTCTGCGCTGTTATTCAACACCCCAGACATTCTGTTGTAAGATGCGGGTACAGAGCTTCTGGGATTTGCACAGGGAGGAAATGGGTTGATACAACCTCTGAGCCGGGAGCAGCTTGGTGGAAAGCGCGCAGACATTTGTCCCCCTTTGTGCAAAGGGAAGCATAGGGGAAGATAGTTGGTCTAATGTTTAAAATGCTGCTTGGGATGCAGCATTCCATATTGGAGTGCCTGGCAATACAGTCCCAGTTCCACTTGCAATTCCAGCTTCCTGCTAACGCTTCCTTGAAAGAAGTGGCGATGCTCAAATATGCACATCCCTATGAGCTACCCAGATCAAGGAGCTGCTTGTGGTTTCAGCCTGGCCCAGTGCATGCTGGAGCAGATATTTAGCAAGCAAACCAGTGGATGGAAGACCTCTCTCTCCCTCCTTCTCTCTCTTAATCTCTTTTTCTCTCTTCTCTCCCCAAGCTTTTGCCCTTCAAATAAAAACAAATAAATAAATGTTTTTAAAAGAAAAGAAAGACCTAGGCCAAGCGACCTGAACCCCACTGGATTCCCCCGCCCCCGGGCTCACGGACCCAGCACCCACTGCACAGGCGGGCCCAAGGGCCCAAGGTGGGTGCTGGGTTCATGATTCCCGGGGACGGGGGATCCAGTGGTGCTCAGGTTGCCTGGCTCGGGTACTTGGAACCATCTGCACATGTGTGCCAAGATTATGAGTCCCAGGGGTGGGGGATCTGGTAGAGCTCGCATCCCCTGGCCCAGGTTCTTGGGCTTATCTGCGAGGTGGGTGCTGGGTTTGTGTGAGCCCTGGGGGCAGGGAATTCAGCAGGGCTTGGGGTGCCTTGCTGGGTCCTTGGGCCCACCTGCGAGTGAAAAAGGAGAAGCAGTAGAGGCAGACCTGATGCAAATGGAGAATATGGCAGCCCACTAGGTACAGTAGCAGAAGAAAGAGAACAGAATAAACTAGACAACTACCCCAGCCAAACAATGATAGCAGAAATCTAGGTGAATGGAGATTTGAGGTTGACTAGATCAACCAATGGGCACTGGGAGGGCTCCCTCATCCTCGGATCAGTAAAATCAATAGCATTCCAGAACTAGCCAAACCACTTGGGCAGAACCCTCAGAACATGCACCACATCAGGACCCTGGATTGATATCGGTTGGTGGTTCCCCATCCCTGGGTGCTGGGCTATTTGGGAGGTTGCATGTGGCTTCCCACTTTATCTCTCCTCTTCCCCCAGAAATAAGAATAAGAAATCAAAAATTTGGAAATAATAATTTCACCCACTTCCCTTATCTCTTGGTCTTTCCCACGCTGATCAATCCTGTAATCAACAAAAAAATTTAAAATAATAATTATTAGGGCCTGGCGGCGTGGCCTAGTGGCTAAAGTCCTCACCTTGCACTGGATCCCATATGGGCACCAGTTCTAATCCCGGCAGCTCCACTTCCCATCCAGCTCCTTGCTTGTGGCCTGGGAAAGCAGTCGAGGATGGCCCAAAGCCTTGGGACCCTGCACCCGTGTGGGAGACCCGGAAGAAGTTCCTGGCTCCTGGCTTCGGATCGGCTCAGCACCGGCCGTTGTGCTCATTTGGGGGGGGGAATCATTGGACGGAAGATCTTCCTCTCTGTCTCTCCTCCTCTCTGTATATCTGACTTTCCAATAAATAAATAAATCTTTAAAATAATAATAATGTTTATTATTATTTTAAAAAAAGAAAAGAAAGATAACTCAGAGAACAAACTCGAGGCAAGCATGGCTGCCCTTGCCACAAGGGCTCAAAAGGCAGTGTGCCTTGGAGCTCAGGAGACAGTGTTGAGCCATACAAAGTCATTCCCAGGTTCAGACACCACCAGGGCCGCTGCATTCTTTCAACTCCTCCCTCTGGAAATTGGAAGTGTCTAGCCTATGCCTCTTCCATCATTGCACTTCAGAAGTTGTCCCATAGGGTTCGGGGAAGCCCACCGACACTCAGGGAGAAACCAGGGCATGGCACAGGCACAAAGGGGAGAGATGCAGAGAAAGACAGGTCACCAGGGAAGCTGGGAGAGCAGCATGGAGCAGACCCTTCGAACCCACACTGTCATTTCTGACCTCGGGGTTGGAGAACCAGAAGAGAACAAAGCTTTGCTGTGTTAAGCGACCCAGTTGGTGTTGCTCCCCCACAGAAGCCCTGGAAAATGAGCAGCTGTCTTTGGGGCTTCAGTTTGGTATCTCCTTCACTTGCACGTGTTCCTCCATCCTTCTCAGATGCTCCCTTCACCGTCTAAGCTATGCCACCCAGGGGAGTGCACTGAGGGTTTGGCTTGGTTCATCACACTCCCTGTGCTTTTTCCTGTCACAGGCTTTCACAGGAACTTCTGGTCCTGCAGTGACCCAGACACCTGAGCAGCAGCACCTTGGTAGGTACTGGATTCTCACAGAGCTTTCCTCGCAGAATGCACGCTTGTCCACTTGTCACACATGCTCTGTCACCCAGTACCTGAAATCCTTTCTCGGGTTGGAAATTCCCTAACCCATTGGCTTGCCTGGCCTCCCCAGCCCACATGGGCCAGGCTTCATTCCCAACCCAGTGAGAGCTAGAGCCACCCAGAAGTGCCAACAGCTCAGACTGCAGCTCAGGGGTGCATCATGATGCCTCTCCCCAGGGGGGTGGATGTGAAGGAAGCTGCCAGCTGACCATGGGAACAGCCATGGTCCTGGCTATGTATGTGGCTGCATCCTTATTACTGTCCGCATGCTCCGTTTCTCCCAGGGCTGCCCCTGCTCAGGGAGCTGCGAGCTTAGTTCTCGCACTGCCTCCTCTCTGGGAGTTAGACAACGGCCCTTTAGCAAACTTCTTTTCTGCTGCAATTAACCAGAACAGTGCTTTCTCACCGGCAACAAAGTGCTTGGAGTAGAAATTCATTCCTCCATTAGCATCAACATGCTCCCCTCTGACCTGGTAATGTCATTAGATATTTTTCAGTATGATCTGAGGAGCGGGATGTTGGCCTCCCTTCTTCTACACGAAGCAGAGATGTGCTGATCTGTAGGTCTTTCACAGTCCACGGAGAGGCAAAGCTGTGGAAGCATCAGCTGACACATCACACCTTACAATGACAGCACGTCAAGGTCAGCATCATGCTGGCTCTAGTCCAAAATCATCTTCTCTCCTTGCAGAGGGAATATTACATGAAGACATCTGAGCATGGATCCTCTCTGATGTTCCTTCTTGTCTGTGGATGTCAAACAGAGCCCTGAAGACGAGTGAATCATCTTTCAGTACTATGTTGCTTAAAGACACACTGGGCTCTTTGCTCCACTCTCCTTCCCATTTGCCTTACCTATGATTTCCCTCCAAATCTCCAAGTTCAGAACAGATCTTAAACAAATGTCCTTATAATACCCTTGTTGCCATGATCTCCTATTATTATGGACTTCTAGGTAAGGGTCACCTAATCCCAGAAGTGGCCAGTGCTGCCCCAGCATCTACATTCATCTCTCCGAGGCGGTGTGTTGTCAGCCACCCCATTCCCCACTGTATCCTCCTCACTGCCTGCTGCCTCACCACGCCTTTTCCTGGTCACCTGCTTGACCCAGGGAACCTGTTCTTCAGGGGATCATGTGTCCATTGTCTGCTAGTTTCTTGTAGTTTGTTTGCGCAATTTAAACCAGGTCAGTGAACAGCTATAGAAGGAGGGTGCAGCATAGGTTCCTGTTGACCTGACCATTCCTGACCGTACCTAACTCCCAGAAGGAGAGAGAGAGTTGGGGCTCCTTTCACGGCTTATGAATCTGATGGTGTTGCCTGGTTCCTGACCACGGACAGCATCAAGCCTCAGTGGTGTGTGTGCCCCCCTTGCCAGAAGGCCACCTCTGCCTTTCATGGCTCTCTGAGAAGTCCACCATTGCCTGCTTCTAGCATTCTGCCCCCCACAGGCCACATGCCAGTCCCCATTCCTCCCTCAGAAGTTGTCAGAGTTTCTCAAGTGGGAGACAACATTGCTGCCTCAATGAGCATCATCCTGGCCTGGGTGTTGTCACCGTTAGTGGCCTCTAGGGGGTCCCAGACTAAAGTGTGACATAGTCAGTGTGGTGTCTGGTTGCCCCAAGCAGCCATGTATTTCCACCTGTCAATGTTCTGCCCCTACACACACCTGCACACAGCTGTATTCTCTCATCCACACTCGCTGCAAGACCTCTGCTCTCCTCACATCAGCAGGCTCTGCCTCTTCCACACTTCACTCAATGCCAAGCTGTCCTGGCCCACATGCAAATTTAGGTGAAAACCGTTCCTTCCTCCTATTTGTGTCTATGTGTGGGTCTGCTGTTGCTCCGTAGGGGTTGACATGATGGAGGAAGAGCTACGTTCTCCCAATGAGTCTTTCTCAGGCTCATGATTTACAGAGCCAGCAGAGTATCACAGAGAATGCTCCACATTTGAGTTGGTAAAACCTCACTTCGAGTCCTGATGCACGGCCTTGGGACAGTGAATCGCTTTGAGCTCGCACTCTGAACCATGTCTACCCAATCTCAAGGTGAAGGTGAAGAAGCACTCTAGAAGGGGCTAACAACAATCTTCAAGCATTTGGGTTATCCAAGAATTTGGTTTGTCTTGTCCTGTCCTAACATTACACAAGAAAAAAGAGCCTCCAAGGAACCCCTACTCCAGGAATTCTAAGAACCTAGAAGAGAGATGTGAGGCCTCAGACACCCCCATGGTAGGGTGGGACCAGAGTGAGGTGAGATCAGACCTACCAGCTGACCTTGGAGCTTCCTGCCCAACTGCCCTGGGTGAGGTCAGTCACTGTTGAGATCATAGGACTCTCTGATTTTAGTCCTTCCGGGCAGGTTATATGACTCCCTTAGCCTGACCAGGAAAAAGGCATTTCAAGATCAGCACTGGTGTGAGGTGGGAGTGTTCTCATCATCACTCAGACCTCTCAACCTCATAATCCTCTCACCTGTGGTCCAGCAGCTGCACCTCCTTCCTGGTACCTGTGCTGCCTGAACATGGAATCCCATGCAGGAACTCCGGGACAGTTGTAGGGCTCCTTCTCCTGGGACTACCACTTCTCCACATGTCTACAACACTCCTCATGTACCCTCCACTCACACTTCCTCGTACAACATGGCTGATATGCATGAGTGCGTGTGTGTGTGCTTGATAAGGGACAGAGGACACAGGCTGTTCTGTCATATATCCCCCTGAGACCTGCTACAAGCAGGCCCTCTGCAAACTTTAGCTAAATTAATTCACCAAAGAGAGCAAAAGGCTAGTGTCAGGTGCCCGTCCCAAGGACCTCTGTGTTACAGGAGAAATCTTCTAGCAGCACCACTGTCAGATCAGCTTGGCTCAATGGTCCTTTTGCCAGATACTGAGTGCGATTATGCTCCCAGATGGATTAGAGCAAAGATGATACATTGCAGCTTTCTCCTCACAAAATCCATTTCCAATGCTCACTTGAAAATCTTAAATTAGGGCCAGGTACAGTGGCCTAGTGGCTAAAGTCCTTGCCTTGAACGCACTGGGATTCCATATGGGCACAGGTTCTAATCCCAGCAGCTCCACTTCCCATCCAGCTCCCTGCCTATAGCCTGGGAATGTAGTCAAGGACGGCCCAAAGCCTTGGGACCCTGCACCCAAGTGGGAGACCTGGAGGAAGTTCCTGGATCCTGGCTCCGAATCGGCTCAGCACTGGCCATTGTGCTCACTTGGGGAGTGAATCATCGGACGGAAGATCTTCCTCTCTGTCTCTCCTCCTCTTTGTATATCTGACTTTGCAATAAAAATAATAAATTTTTTTAAAAAAATCTTAAATTAGTTCTAGTCTTCACTTTGCAACTCTTCCCAGGGTTTGCTACATCAGCAGAAGCACAGCTTCCTGTGCTCATATATGACCTACTTTCTTTGAGTAGACCTGATAGTGATTTTAATTCTTACAGCCTCAATGGTTGGCCTCATGTTGGAAGCAGTCTCAGAACTGATATCTCCCTGCTTGATAGACCCAAGAGAAAGAGTGGCGTCCATGATATATGTGTATGAGAAAGTCAGCCAGGAGCTTTTGATTCATTGCTTTCCCATTTATTGGTCTGAACAAGTGTTTGCTGCCTAGAGTTGGCAGCCCTGTTGAGATTATGAGATGACTAACAAGTGCTGGGAAGACAGTTAACACCACGATGGCAGAGGACTAGATGTGCCCCATTTCCCCCTCTGCATCCACTGCCCCTCCGCACACAGCTCTGTGTCCCAAGTCCTCCTGGACCATCTCAGTAGATTCCTTAATTTCTGGCTTCCAGTTGGGTGCAAAGAGGAAGTAAGCAATGGAGGGAGAGGAAAGCAAAGCTGCCTCCCTGTCTATCTGTGTTGTTCCTACAGGAGAAGTCACAGCTCCTTTCTGGAGGCCCCAGACAGCTGAGGCTCTTTCTCTGGCTTGCTCTAAACCTGGCTCCTGCTGCCCTCGGTTTGCACCATCAGGCTTGCTGTGGGGAAAGAAGCTGGTATCAGCAGGGGATCTGGAACTCCAGCTCGGGCATTCTGCTTTGAGATGCAGGCAGCCCCAGCAACAGCATCTTGAATGTTTAGCATTTCCACACGGCACTGGGCACACTGCCATTGCGGTTAAGACCTTATCACTGACACGTAGCAACTGATGAAAACATGTCTACTGCGTGAACAAGGGAAGGAGCAAGCCTTGAGTCCTGCACCTTAGAGAGAAGGCATCCAGGGCCAGAGAGGACAAGGACCTTTCCAGGGAGGGTCCCCTAACTCAAGACAGGAGTCTTGGTCACCTGACTCAGTGCTCAGTCATGTTTCTGCCACACTGAGGCCTCTCCTCTCTCTACCAAGACAGTGACCCATCTTCAGCAGTGGAAACAAGGACAGGAGTGGATGCTGGAGCTGGCTGTATACTCAAAGAAAACCCAAAGTAGAGCTTTCCTACATACAAGACCTCTTAACTTAAAACCCAGGAGCACTTTCCATTGAATTTGCCCTCAGAAATAAGAGCAGGAATTTGGTTCAGTTACACTTTCTGGAATGGGGGGGGGAGGGAAGGGGGACTAATGTTGAATGTGTCCAATGTTCACTTGTTGAAAAGGTTGGGTGGAGGAAAGAAGCAGGCAACTTTTTTTTTAATTGCATTTCATTTTATAACATCGTTTCATAGGCTCTGATGTTCCCCCTTCCCCTCTCCGTGCACTCCCCCCATGGTGGATTGCTCCTCCTTGTTGCAGTATTACAGTTCAAATCCAGTCTTGTTTCTTTCATTGCAAGCATGCGCCATGCATAGAGTCCAGCATCTTATTGTCCAGCTGAATTCAACAGTTTCTTGGGGAGACCAACTCTGGTCTGAAGGCATAGCTGGCAGATTATCATTCCGACCAATTAAAAGCCATAACATAACATCAACAACAGATTCCAACATTATGGGGTTAATTGATATTGTATTGGGTGATTGATATGTTAGAAAATGCTGGTTCTTAACCACATCCTGTGACTACTTCATTAACATTTCAATTTTAGTTTGTATACAACTGGCTTCTATCTACCTTAAAATGGCTATAGGATATGATTTAGCTGTCTCATGTCTGTTTTCATTTCAGTATTTAGCAGTTTATTGTGTTGAAGCATAATTTTTACTGAACTTGGCAGATTTTAGGATAGTCTAAACTGGCTTATAGCTTTAGCAAGGCATATGACATCCATTGAGGCACAGAACACTGCTGGGAGGGGTGTGCAGGGAAATCCTCCATACCCTAGTTAGGAGTAATTTATTTTCGTGTCCTACCTAGTAAGGTATGTGTGAGTCCCCACTGATTGTTTCCTGTCGAGTTCTAAGCTTTCCTTGCTGTTCTCTGTCTATTTTGATTTTTGTTGTTGTTTGTTCCTCTGTTTCTGTGGACCGCTCAGGGCTCCTGGCTGTTGTTCCAGTGACATTGGGCTCTGCGAGGAGGGATTTGGACTTCTTCTATCCCAGGCAGGAGCTTCAAATGGGAGTGGATGACCTCAGAATACTTGGCCTCCGAAGGCACTCCAATTCCCCGTGGTCTCCTTGGCAGCTGGGATGTAGTCTTTGGTGCCCATACTGATAGTCCTTGGTGAGGAGCCGGGAGTCTCCAGGGTTGGGATACAGGTCTCCTCTTGTCCATCAGAAGCAGGCAACTTTTCTGCCACTTCTTACTCCTTCCCAAGCGTGCCTCAGCTTATTGGTCATGCTTATCAATCTCACAGTCTGTACAAAGCTATTCACAGAATCCACCTTGCAAGATCGCCATGGGATTACAGTTAATACATACAAACCATTTAGGATAGCGCCAGGCACAGGGTAGGCAAAAATAAATAAACAAACAAATAAATAAATAAATAAATTCTTCAAATTTGACCCTTCCCACCTTAATCAGTGGTCCATGTGGGCCTTCTGAACTTTATCATCAAAATAAAACAAAATTTCATGATATACTAAATAAAATAAATATAATAAAATTTTAAAAGTAAAACTGTTTAGATTTATTTTTTATTTTCTTTCATTTATTATTATTATTATCACTTTATGATATAGTTCCATAGGTCCTAGGATTTCCCCTATTGCCTCCCCAAATCCTCCTTCCTCCCACTGAGTTCTCCCACATCATTTCAACAGCACAGCTCCTCATAAACAGTCATAAGTCCATCATCGTGGGCGTGGACAATGGCAAACAGTCCAGCATCCCATTGTCAAGACATATCCTACAGTTTCGCTGGGAGTCCATCCTCAATCCAGAAGTAGAGATGCACACTGCACTGTATCCTCACATCTGGACATGACAGTCACCACTACACAGTCACTATAAATCCCTCCAAGTGAAAAGCCACAAAGCAAAATCAACAAGAAGAAGAAAAACAAATTTACAATGCCAAGAGGTTAAACAACATGCCACTGGATATGATAGTTTCCATTACACAGTTACTGCACATCCCCCTAAGCGAAAAGCCACAAAACAAAATTAACAAAAGAGATTTATAATGCCATGAAGTTAAATGGCATGCTACTGAATGACTAACGTGTCACTGAAGAAATGAAAATCAAGAACCTTGAAGAAAATGATGCTACTATATGATCCGTGAGTCACTGAAAATTTGAATGAGAAGAAAATGTTTTAAAGAAATTTAACTAAAAATAAAAACATGAAAATCCATGAGATACAGTTTCCACTAACCTTTGTTGGTGAGATGTATCTCCTGTAGGCAACAAAAGATGGGTTTTGTGTTTTTAATCCAGTCTACTAATCCATGTTTGATTGATGTGTTTAATCCACTTACATGCACGGTTAATATAAGCAGGTGCTAATTTGGTCCTGTCATTTAGCATTGGGTTGTTCATTGATCTAGTCTTCTGTTGTTATTTTACTGGGATGTTCTTCACATTTGCCTTTGGTTTTCGTGAGTCTCTGTCAAGAGAACATCTTTAAGTATCATTTGTAGGGCAGGTTCGGAAAAGGCATATTCTTTTAACTTTTCTTCACTATGGAAGAATTTAATTTCATTTTCAAAGACAAAGGAAAGCTTTGCTCCATAGATTATCCTGGGCTGGCATTTTTTTTTTTTCTTTTAGAATCTGGAATATGTTGCTCCATTCTCTTCTGGCCTGTAGAGCTTCCTATGAGAGATCTGTGAGTTTAATTGGCATCCCTCCATATTTCAATTGATTTTTTTTTTTCACGTGAACATTTAAGGATCTTTTCCTTATGTTTGGTCAAAGAGAGCTTGATAATCATGTGTCATGATGAAGATCGCTTTTGGTCAACCCTGTTGGGAGTTCTGTGCCCTCCTGGATATTGTTCCCCAATTCTTTCTCCAGATTAGGGAAATTTTGCTTTGTTATTTCATTAAATCTATTTTTTAGCCCAGCTTCTCTTTCTGCACCTTCTGGGACTCCTATAACGCTTATGCTTGGCCTTTTACTAGTGTCTCTTAATTCTTGAATACTTTTTTTTTTAAGCTTGACCCACCTTTGCCTCCAGCTTTTTGATTCTTTCCCTACTGTGTC